CACCGTTTGCAAAGATGAAGATGGCATCAGATGAGAAACGATGGGCAAAGCAAATCGAAGAGGCCATGGCTGTCGTTGAGGTAAAATGCTTCAGACCTCGTCACAGACTTGACTATTCCCAGGCTACTGTGGGGAGAATCTGTCCCTTTTAGCCCCACTACCTTAGGACTCATTGTTTGGGGGACACGGGAAGACCATGTCAGTTCTGGCACCCGGGCACTGCCGTTCATGTGGACGGGGCCTTAGATTTCCTTGCAAAGCTGCAATGCAAAATTCCTCCCTCTTTTTTTTCTGCGATGGAGTGCCCAGATATTACGTTCTCTGACGAAGCAAACTGAAACGAAAAAGAAACGAGAGCCTCAGGAGAGAGAGAGAGAAAAGAGAATTCTCCCGAAAAAGAAAAAAAAGAAACGGGAAAAGTTAAAAGAAAAAAGAAAAAAAGAAAAGAGAAAAAGAAGAAAAAAAGAAAAGAAAGGAAAATTATAAAAGAAACGGGAAAAGAAAAGAAAAAAGATTTTGGGGGATTTTTGCATTTGTGAAAGTCTTGCCGAATTTGCCCAGGGTGAGAAGAAACAAGCAAGTAGCTCTAATAACGACGAAATGAGATCGGTGTGGCTGAGGGCTATGTAATCTTCATACAAATTATATTGCTATTTAGTACTGTACTTGTGCAAAGAAAGGGGTATCAGGCATTAACGAATGAATGGCTTTCTTAGTTCTGAATGCCTCTCTCTCTCTCTCTTTCTCTCTCTCTCTCTCTCTTTCTCTCTCTCTCTCTCTCTCTCTTTCTTTCTTTCTTTCTTTCTTTCTCTCTCTTTCTTTCTCTGTCTCTCTCTCTCTGTCTCTCTCTCTCTCTCTCTCTCTCTCTCTCTCTCTCTCTCTCTCTCTCTCTCTCTCTCTCTCTCTCTCTCTGTATATGTATATGTATATGTATATGTATATGTATATGTATATATATATATATATATATATATATATATATATATATATATATATATATATATATATAATTTACATATGTATACCTCTCATCAGATCACTGATAGGCTCTGGCCACCCAGCTGTCATTGTCAAGGTCAGGACTCGGGTTTGAGGTTACTTCAAGAATGGGTGTGGTCAATTCAGTGGTTTTGGCTGTTTTTTTTCCGCTCTTGTCATCTCAATTTGTGCCTCTCTTGGGCTGTGATTTCATAAAGCTGTCATTGAATCCCGATCTAGACTGTCTCCAGTTGGCCGTTTGGACGCAAAGTTTCGGTGCCTTGTAGGTGAGGAAACCGAACCTGAGAACTGCTCATTCTGCTAACTGGAAACCCGTCTTGCAACTGGCGTCACAATATGCCTGCGTGGACATTGCCCTTCATGTGGACTGAGTCGGACTGTGTTCACCCAAACCCACGTGTGCATAGGCCTCTAGAACTTCATAATGGAGAGTCACATACTGATTTCTTGATGAGGAAAAACAACTAAGAAAGTGATATTAAGTTTGTGATGCCAGATTAGCAAAACTAGAAATGATTCAAATATATTCAAAGAGTACAGAGTGAATTCATAGCTGTCAAAAAAATTAAATTCATAAGGAAAAGTACTGAATGAAATCTGTAAGCTAAAGCATTTTGTGGCATTGGCCAAGAGAAGCTTGTAAGACGAAACTGATTTTAAAAAGTAAGAGAGAATCACAAATATATCGATGTTATTTTAATGGTATAAGTCTGTCATTAGGAAAAAGTCTCTATAGTAGAGTGAATGAACATTATTTCACGCTTATGTTTTGCATGATTTTGTCCTTGCTCTTCGTCACTTGCGAAATACTTCACTAGACAAGTACACATCAATAGACACCGTATAACGCAAGTGAAAAAAAATACAATAAATGGAGAGAGAAAAGTAAATGAAAAGGATGGCAGTACCGAAATGACAGGAACTTTATTTATCCTGAAAAAAAATATGAAGAGGACTTAACGATGGATTGACAGAGGGAACTTCATCAAGGGAAAAGATTGAGCAACAGTTCTTGTATTTTAGAGGAATGACTCTTAATAATTGCAATGCCATTGTACCAGAAGTATCTACCAGGTACGGGAAATTGAAGGACTGAACGAAGTACACTGTAGGCTCTCACGAATAAGGACAAAAATGCTCTTAAGTGGGAAGTGAGAAGTGGCATAATTGAAAGAAATGGCAGTATGGCGTAACCGTAATTACTTTGAAACTGAGTTCAAGCAGACACAACTAGATTATTACAATGATTACACTGGGTATATTAATCATCAATAAGGTAGCTACATATTATGTTAGCACAAGAAAGCTAAACATTACAGTAAATAGACAGCTTTCTACCGCAATGTTCACTCTTCAACAGACAAACCATGCATGAGTAAAAGCACATATAAACAACACAGCCTAAACACACTTACGGGAGAAGAAATATAAGGAAGAAGAACCGAAGGGTCACAGCCTTACGCTTACCATGAGTGACAGGATCCTCTATTGGACTGGAGAG